CCTCCGTCGTCGCTCACCATCACGACTCCCACTCTGTCTGACTACCTTCGTGCTACTCGTCCTCTTGTTCCTCGGGTCCTTGCCTCCCTCGTTACCGGCCCGTCTGTTCCTGTCTCCAGTCTTGACGCTCTTGTAGCTGCTGTCGCTGACTTTTCCTCTACTTGCTGCCTTGACTTCGCTACCGCTCTGGTCTCTGACCCTGTCTGTCCTCCGTCCGTCGGGGGTGCTTCTGCCCTCGGCAGTGACGTCTTGGAGGAGCGGCAGTACGAGCTTGGCTTCCTGTCAGAGGCTGCTCCCCGTCTCTGTTCCATGCTGACCCCGACGCCTTTGACATCCCGAACCCTCGCACCTACGCTGAGGCGACCTCGGGACCCTGGGCCTCTCAGTGGATAGCTGTCATGGATCTAGAGATGGCATCTTGGAGGCACCTAAGTCGACGTAGTTCCCCCACCTTGGGTGAACGTAGTCGATGGCCGGTGGCTCTTCAAGGTGAAGCGCCCCCCTGGAGAGCCGCCTGTGTTCAAGGCACGCTACGTGGCTAGAGGCTTCAATCAGCGAGAGAGGGTGGACTTCTTTCGGACCTTCGCCCCGACCCCGAAGATGACTACTCTTCGGGTGCAGCTACACGTAGCAACACAGTGTGACTACGAGCTTCAGTCCCCCGACTTCTCCACTACTTTCCTTCAGGGCAGCCTACACGAACAGGTCTACCTGCGCCGCCCTCAGGGCTTCACCGGTACTTTCTCTCCTAGGACCCAGTGGCTTCTCTGGCACCCCGTCTACGGCTTGCGACAGGCGCCGCGTGAGTGGCACGACACGCTGCGTGCCACGCTAGCTGACCTGCAGTTCTTTCCGTCCTCTGCTGACCCTTCGCTCTCCGTTCGTGCTGGCCAGACTCCGTTCTACATCCTGGTCTACGTAGACGACCTGGTCATTGCTATAGCAGACAGAGACGCGCAGGCCTCTGTGAAGGCTGAGCTGCTGAGGCGACACACCTGCACTGACCTGGGAGAGCTGCGCCGCTACCTTGGCCTGCATATCTCCTGGGACAGAGCAGCGCGCACCATCACTCTTACACAGTCACACTTGGTGCGCTTGGTTCTTCAGAGGTTTGGTCTTCAGTTCTCCTCCGCACAGCCCACACTTCTGCCGGTAGACCACAGGCTCTGAGCTCCAGTTTCCGAGGAGTCAGCAGAGCCCAGTAGTCCTTACGCAGAACTGGTGGGTTGCCTCATGTACCTGATGACTTGCACTCGCCCAGATCTCACATACCCTCTCAGCATCCTGGCCAGCTTGGTGGCCAAAGGCAGTTACCGACCACAGCACTGGTCGGCCGCTAAGAGGGTTTTGCGTTATCTTGCAAGTACATCGGGCATGGGGCTAGTGCTGGGAGGACACAGGCTAGTGCTGGGAGGACACAGGCTAGTGCTGGGAGGACACAGGCTAGTGGTCCTTACTGGGCACAGAGACGCTTCTTGGGCAGACGACGCTGAGACCCTCCAGTCCTCCCAGGGCTACAGCTTTAGCCTTGGTTCGGGTGCCATCTCGTAGAGGTCCACTCGCTCCTCGTCTGTTGCTTTGTCTAGCTGCGAGGCTGAGATCTACGCCAGTGCCATGGCGGCACAGGAGCTCCGCTGGCTGACCTTCTTGCTTGCCGACTTAGGTGAGCGGCCTAGCTCTGCCCCGGTTCTGTACGCTGACAACAGGGCCATGATCCTCCTGTGTCAGGAGCCTCGACTTGAGGGCAGAGCGAAGCACATGCAGCTGCAGTACCTCCTCCTGCGCGAGCTTCAGCAGCATCGCCAGGCCCGTGTAGTACACTTGGCCTCCGGTGCCAATACAGCTGATATATTTACTAAGGCGCTTCCGCCTAGAGATCGTCGGCGGCACTGCTTGCAATTAGGTCTAGTCCCTGTTGACTCCTATTTGCTAGGCCCTTGATTGTGTACTCCTTTCAAACTGACCTTGTGGCTTTTCCTCCAGTGGTTGGACTAGTAGTGCCGCCCTTATTTGCTACAGTGGCGGAAACAATTGTCCACATGTTTAGCATATTTTCACCTTTTGACGAGCTGTACGCTATAAACATTAAGCCTTAATTCATGGTGGCTATACACGTAGAGAGGAGCAGTTAGAGCACTCACTCAAATCTCCTAAAACCAGAGTAGTATATTTCATGGTCCTTCAAGACGACAACATTTAATAATAGCACATCTGGACAATTTGTACCGGGGACAGGCAGCAAACTAGTTACTAGCAAAACTAGTACCTAGTCAACCGACACTTGGCCTTGATCACCACCTACACCCTCCTAGGCATGTTATCTACGAGGTTAGTGCAAACCTTTACAGGGATCTTCTCGCACTCTTCCTGGACTCACGCTTTTGCATAAGGGGGTGAGCACTAGGAAAATCGCGAAGTATTTGAACGTATACAAGAGTACTGTGCACGATTTTATGTTGAATGTTTTCTCTAAGACTAGCCATGCTGAGGTGTGGCCAAAGATGCCATTAGTCAATTGGTCTCGTCTTATCATGGATCGTCTTCATCGCACCATTGTAGGTAAAAATTACGAGCAGAGTGGCAAAAAATTGCGTATCTGCCACGAAACTTAGGGTAACATAGCACGGTTGACAGTGCATCCTTGCACTATTAGAAGCATGCTAGGATCCGTATGTCTCTGAGCGGTGCAGCAGTCGAAGTAGTCGTGACTGGTGGGGAAAAATATCCGGGTTGAGATCTGGTGAGGAAAAGGGTCACTCCAACGTAACATACTCGTGTTCTCTAAGCCATTCTAAGCCATGTGTCCCGCCTAGGCTTGGAATGGCTTGGAGAGCATGAGTTTATAGCACTGGAGTGACCCTCTTCCTCACCAGACCTGAACCCATATATTTTTCCCCACCAGTCACGACTACTTCGACTGCTGCACCACTCAGAGACCTACGGATCCTAGCGTGATTCTAATAGTGCAAGGATGCACTGTCAACCGTGCTATGTTACCCTAAGTTTCGTGCCAGATACGCAATTTTTTGCCACTCTGCTCGTAATTTTTACCTACAATGGTGCGATGAAGACGATCCATGATAAGACGAGACCAATCGACTAATGGTATCTTTGGCCACACCTCAGCATGGCTAGTCTTAGAGATAACATTCAATATAAAATCGTGCACAGTACTCTTGCATGCGTTCAAATACTTCGCGATTTTCCTAGTGCTCACCCCCTTATGCAAAAGCGTGAGTCCAGGAAGAGTGCGAGAAGATCCCTGTAAAGGTTTGCACTAACCTCGTAGATAACATGCCTAGGAGGGTGTAGGTGGTGATCAAGGCCAAGTGTCGGTTGACTAGGTACTAGTTTTACTAGTAACTAGTTTGCTGCCTGTCCCCGGTACAAATTGTCCGGATGTGCTGTTATTAAATGTTGTCATCCTGAAGGACCATGAAATATACTACTCTGGTTTTAGGAGATTTGAGTGAGTGCTCTAACTGCTCCTCTCTACGTGTATGGCCACCATGAATTAAGGCTTAATGTTTATAGCGTACAGCTCGTCAAAATGTGAAAATATGCTAAACATGTGGACAATTGTTTCCGCCACTGTAAGTCTTGCGTGTACTCTTGCTGACTGGTCTTCGGGCCTCTGCCTCAGAGGTTGGACTAATAGTGCCACCCTGAGCTACGTGTTTCTTGCTCAGCACTACCCCTTATCTAGCCTAGGGGGTGTGTCAATTTATACATATATTGTTATGTAGAAGTTATAGGCTAAGTAGGGTATTTTCTTAGTGGGTACAATCCAAACGCTATATCTCCCCTGTTCTCCCTCCTCCTAATTATTCTCTCTAGAAGTGTGTAGTTGAAAATTGCCAGAAAGGAAGATTCGACTGTTTCCTTCCTCCATGGAAGTGTGCATATAATTTGAAGGATGGAAATGTTGAAAGTGTGTGAGGGCATGAGGACGCACCATCCATTCCTACGTGCCTATACGTATGTTTCTCTCTGTTTTATTCCGTCAAATGGCAGCTCTAGGTAATTACATATGATGCTTCCCCCCTGCGCGCGTTTTTGTTTGGAATTTGCAAACAATCACTTATGGAAGCTTTCTTGCTTGTGTAGCATGGGGGCTTACGTTTTTAGTTGCTGACTTTCACACGTAAAAGATATGTAATTGCTGTGAGCAGTAAATACCCACATACGGCACCATATACCTTCCACTTCACGCACGAGAAGATATTCATGTGCACGTGATACTTCAGCTTCTCGTTGGTCCGCTCGTTACAGAGACGGGCATCTGTGCTGAAATCCCGCAATGTGTATGTTCTGTCCCAAGATGGCGGGAACTGACTCCACCAAGATTCCGCCTTTCCTGGCAGAATTTGGGTGTGAAGTGATTTGCTGAGGATCTGCCCTCCTCAAATAGGGTTCTGCTGCTTTCTGACATCAACGGAGCTCTGCCCACCACATGTGCCCATGTTCCAGTACCCCTCTTGCCGCGCTGTGTTATGTGGCATTCAAATGTTGGCGGGAAAAGGATGTCCAGGACCTGCGGGCAGCACAAAGAACAAGGGCCGCACGGATTTTGTTTCAGCCCCTCCCTGACGTGGCAAAAAGCGCGTTGCCTCCCCCGTGCCTTTTTCCAACCACCCCGCGGTTCGTTGTAAGACAGCCAATAAAGCCACTGCTCTCGTGACCTTGCGTTTTTTTCGAGTCGAAGTTTCTTACCGGAGAAACCGAGCCTTCTTTCTGGCCCGGAACCTCTTGGGACCCGTCCCGCCCGCTAGTCGCATTGTGATTGGCTACACACGGTGGTGGGGTCAGAAAGCTGCTATTCCGAGACACGTGCCATCCTTTCATTGTTACTTCGACTGAACACTTCTACCCTGGATACCAATACTTCTTGGTTCGGCTTGACGACAGTTGGTCGCTCGGAAAACTCAAGGCGACGGACGTCGGGATTTTATCGGCCCATATAGAGACCACAGGGAACACCGCCGGAAATCAAGACGGTTGAGTTTTGCAGTTGAGCTGCCAGCAACCGTTTCCCCCACTCCGTCAAGTCCAGCGAGGAACTGAATTCAGCCGGGAAGGTCAGCTGAAGGTCCTTTGCCCTGCTTTTCCTCCCACCTGACAGGCAGATACACCATTTCCTGTCAGAATCCTGGCTCTTCCTTCATTGCTGTCAGGAACAAATTCCTTAGTGATCTGATCAGAGGTTTTAGAAGTTTGAAACTTCGAAGATTCAGCAATGGCGTGTGAAGGTGACTTCTTGATCGTGGATTCGCTGGCTTCTGCTGAGCCGTGCTCAGCGGAGCAGATTCAGTCTGGCGAAGGAAATCTCGCAACGGATGTTCAGCACTGCCATAGCTCTCTGGTAAGTCGGTGCACTGGACTGGCTTACTTTTTTGTGCTCTTTTACGAGACCCATGTGGGAGCCTGAGCTAATACAGGCTAAAAGTTTGATAAGTACGTGAACTGTGCAACGAATCGACAAAATACGTTTTCGAACGAGGCATTGGAGTTAAAAGAAGAAAACAACTTTCTCTAATCAGACGTGTTTCATCCGTGCTTCGTTTCCTCTTCTTTGTGCAGAATGGCTTTGAGAATCCGGCGGACGGTGATTTCCTAGACATTCTGTGTTTGGACGAAAGCATGTTGCAGCTCGAAGATGACATCCTGGCTATCGCCGATGATGACATCGCCGGTCCGATCAATCAGCTGAACCTCCAGGCTCCCGCTACTGAGGATCTCCGGCCACTGAACGAAGTTCCAACCCCGCTACTTACTTGGGATTCCGAGGTCAGTAACAGGTCTGAACCCGGTAGCTGCTCGTCATTTTCAAAGTGAAAGACTATGTTCTAAGCCCTTCAATACGTCTTCGTGACACGCTGCTAAAGTGTTTTTATGATGTCATGTGTTGCAGGAATCTTCATTGTCTGAGGCCGCAACTCCTCCAGTCGTCACGGAAAGGATCCAAGAGCCCAACACATCCTCACCGGAGACTCCCTGCGTCAAACCTTCGTGGCCGTTCCAGTCCCCGCCTCCCCACAAGCGGTTTCACTCGTCCATCGGATCGCACCGGGAAGGCAGCCCCGTTTCCGTTCTCACTGTGCGGATGTCCCCTGGACGGCCTTTCGAAGGCCTTGGCGAACCAGCTCTGGTCGAGTACGCAACGCCGAATCTCTCTCTCCGGAGTGCTGATCTCTGTCCAACGGATTCTTGCGCTCTCTCCTCCAAATCCCGCAGCAAGCGCATGCGCATCATGAAGCGGGTCTGGTCGACGGATGTCATCTCTCATGTGGTTCCCGAAGAGGCCGGGATGGGGAGCAGCGACGAGTTCGAAGATGGTTACGACGGGCCAATGGGAGAGATCGACGACGGAAGAATCGGTGGACCTTCCGAGGAGAGGAATTTATGTACAATTCCGCCGGTTGGTCCGGTCAAGTCTAATCCTCCTGCCCTTGAACCTCTGTCCAGGGGTTTTATCGGCGGCCCTGGCCCTGCGAGCTCCGATATTAGCTCGCTCACGCTCAGCGGAGCGGAATTGTCTCGATCAGGTTCAACAAACCAGATAGACTCCTTAGTGAAGCAGCCATCCAAGAAGCGCAAGCCTCAAGGGAGTCCCGACGGGAAGGACAAGGATGGCATTATTCGCCGATGCACCCATTGCTCGTCGACAACAACCCCGCAGTGGCGAGCGGGTCCTCTGGGCCCTAAAACTCTCTGTAACGCCTGTGGCGTGAGGTTTAAGTCCGGACGGTTGTGTCCGGAATACAGGCCGGCTAACAGCCCGGAATTTCAGCCGGAGAAGCATTCCAATTCGCACCGGAAGATTGTTGAGATGCGGAAGCAGCAGGAGGTGGTCGAGGGTGAGGGAGTTTCTGCATCATTTGGTAACCAGCAAATCCTGGTCGCACCATTGACTCCGTCCCAAACTACGAAAAAGCCGATCAAAGACGCGAAGGCGGATACTACAAACGTAAAGCCTAAGAGGGAGAAGACCGAGGAGGAAAAGGAGAGAGCGCGCATCCGACGGCGGCTACGGAAGCAGCAGCAGAAGCTTGCTCTTCAGCAGCAGCAGCAGCAGCAGCAGGGGCTTCAGCAGGAAATCGCTCAGGGCGCACCCTTTTTCGCAGGGATTCCGATGCAGATGGGTATGGGCTCCACCCTTGTCGGTGCTCCCGGTATCGGGTGCGTAGACACTGGGTCACTCATTGTGGATCCTCTGGTAGTAGCCAGCAACTTGCCATCCGCTCCGTACGCTGTGCCTCCACCTATGCTTCAGAACACTGCATCTGCGCCTCAGGCGACTGCACCTGTGCCCTACGAAGCTCTCAGCTACTGCCAGCCCTCCATCATCCCCTCGCCTGTATCCCATGTCACTGAATCTGGACCAGAGCATTGTTGGAACTCCAGTCAGTCGCAAGAGTCGGCTGGGGTTCTGTGTGAGGATGAGGTGGTGGACTGGCAGGGGATGGAGCAGGGGGAGGACGAGGACGCCGAAGGATACACCTCGTTCCTGGCTCTGGACTGCCAGCCCCTGGCAACTCCCGTCCTCCCGATGCTCGACTCTGCAGTACCTCCTTCCTTCGCTGTGGCACCTTCTTTTGCCATGTGCAATGTCAAGCCCATTGGGGAAGGGTCTTGGGGCAGCGCTCCTGAAGGCCTTCAGGGTTATTGAGGGACTGAGGAGGCCAGGCTTGCCGTTTCTCAGTGTGATTTTGCTTTGGTGCGGGGTTTAGGGGGGTTGTTCTACAATGCAAGTGGAGGGGTTTAGAGTGTGTGCTCCTCCGCAAGCTGCCTATGTTTTAACGAGGGATGGACATAGCTGCAGGAGACCACACAAAAGTGTGTGGCCTCTGCTCTGCTGCATCTGCCTTTACCCTCCTACACTGCAGCATACTAGTGCTGCCATCTGCTAACCCTCCTGGCTTTGGGGTGAATACAAGTTTGTCCCTCTGCAACCTCCTGATTGTAGGTTACTTAGCTGCTTGCTTTGCACGATTTTGCTTGCCTCTTTTGTGTGGCTTGCCTAACAGTAGTATGGTTTTTTACAGGCTTTTAACATTGACTGGCGCTGGTGACAGAAACACCTTCAGACACACCAGGAAGTTGTCATAATACTCATTGTGGGGCACTGGCCTGTACCCTCTTCGCACACGTTACTATGGCTTAAACGCTGCACTACACACAGAAGATTATCAGAGAAGCAGGCATCTCTGAGCTTCACTCCTACCACTTCCTAGCACTACTTCCTATGTGGCGTGCTTCTGCAGCACTACAAGCAGTTCTGTGCAGTCATGCCTTACACCATGTCTCCTGTGCTGTACTCCGGCATGACTCCAGCTGACACGATGCGTACTCCACTCGCAGATGAAGATAAGCCTGAAGATCCAGGCGAGTCCTGGTTGGTGGAGGCAGCTACTGCACTTCCTTGCCCTGTCCCTCCACCAATCACAACAGCATTAGGCTGCACTGATGGTCTGTACAGTCGCTCCCTTCTCCCGTTCCCTGTCCCTCCACCCCCCACCACACCGCCACCTCTCCCGGTCAAGGTTGTTCCCACATCACTTCGTACACCGCCGCCTGTTCCTTTCCCAAATGGCCACCACGTCCACGTGGAGCCCCCTTTCTTCTTCTTGAGAGGAGGTGGAGGAGACGAGGAGGTGAGCGGCTTTGCATCGGAGGTTGCTGGGGGTGATGTTGGGGGTGGTGACGATGGTGCCGGTGCTGCTGATGGCACTGGTTGCGTTGGCTGTTCCACTAGTGGTGGTGGTGGTGTTGTTGCAGGAGGTTGTGTGGATGCCGATGCTGATGCTGCAGACACAGCTGATGTTGGTGCCGGTTCGGTTGTTGATGTTGCTGTTGCTGCTGCTGCTGTGGGAGGTGAAGGAGAAGGGGGGTCATGAGCTTTCTCCTCTCCCGGAGCACCCTCTGCCGAAACAGAAACAACATTTCCACTCCCACCGTCTGCTGAGCTCCCCCCCCCCTCCACCTCTGCCGAACTCGTCACCTCCTCCCCTGCACCATCTGGAGCTGTATCTGCAGCATGTTCCCCATCAGTTGATGATGCTGCGGCATCCTTCGCATCTGATGCTGGCGCTGCGGCATCTCCCCCAATTGATGCTGGCGCCTCATTAACCTCCCCATCTGCTGCTTCACCTTCCACATGCCCATCCCCCATTCCACCTGTGTCGGAGCTGCCAGCACTTGTGTCGGAGCTGCCAGCACTCGTGCCGGAGCTGCCGGCACTCGTGTCGGAGCTGCCGGCACTCGTGTCGGAGCTGCCGGCACTCGTGTCGGAGCTGCCGGCACTCGTGTCGGAGCTGCCGGCACTCGTGTCGGAGCTGCCGGCACTCGTGTCGGAGCTGCCGGCACTCGTGTCGGAGCTGCCGGCACTCGTGTCGGAGCTGCCGGCACTCGTGTCGGAGCTGCCGGCACTCGTGTCGGAGCTGCCGGCACTCGTGTCGGAGCTGCCGGCACTCGTGTCGGAGCTGCCGGCACTCGTGTCGGAGCTGCCGGCACTCGTGTCGGAGCTGCCGGCACTCGTGTCGGAGCTGCCGGCACTCGTGTCGGAGCTGCCGGCACTCGTGTCGGAGCTGCCGGCACTCGTGTCGGAGCTGCCGGCACTCGTGTCGGAGCTGCCGGCACTCGTGTCGGAGCTGCCGGCACTCGTGTCGGAGCTGCCGGCACTCGTGTCGGAGCTGCCGGCACTCGTGTCGGAGCTGCCGGCACTCGTGTCGGAGCTGCCGGCACTCGTGTCGGAGCTGCCGGCACTCGTGTCGGAGCTGCCGGCACTCGTGTCGGAGCTGCCGGCACTCGTGTCGGAGCTGCCGGCACTCGTGTCGGAGCTGCCGGCACTCGTGTCGGAGCTGCCGGCACTCGTGTCGGAGCTGCCGGCACTCGTGTCGGAGCTGCCGGCACTCGTGTCGGAGCTGCCGGCACTCGTGTCTGAGCTGCCGGCACTCGTGTCGGAGCTGCCGGCACTCGTGTCGGAGCTGCCGGCACTTGTGTCTGAGCTGCCAGCAGCACTTTTGTCCGAGCTGTCAGCAGCACTTGTGTCCGAGCTGTCAGCAGCACTTGTGTCCGAGCTGTCAGCAGCACTTGTGTCTGAGCTGCCAGCAGCACTTTTGTCCGAGCTGTCAGCAGCACTTTTGTCCGAGCTGTCAGCAGCACTTGTGTCCGAGCTGTCAGCAGCACTTGTGTCCGAGCTGTCAGCAGCACTTGTGTCCGAGCTGTCAGCAGCACTTGTGTCCGAGCTGTCAGCAGCACTTGTGTCCGAGCTGTCAGCAGCACTTGTGTCCGAGCTGTCAGCAGCACTTGTGTCCGAGCTGTCAGCAGCACTTGTGTCCGACCTGTCAGCAGCACTTGTGTCCGACCTGTCAGCAGCACTTGTGTCCGAGCTGTCAGCAGCACTTGTGTCCGAGCTGTCAGCAGCACTTGTGTCCGAGCTGTCAGCAGCACTTGTGTCCGAGCTGTCAGCAGCACTTGTGTCCGAGCTGTCAGCAGCACTTGTGTCCGAGCTGTCAGCCCCAGTGCCTGAGCTGTCAGAATCCGAGTCTGAGGTGTCTGACTCCCCCACCTCCTCCTGTGCCTTCTCCCCTGCTCCTCCTCCCCCCCCTCCTGCACCAGCTCCCTTCTCTCCGTCTCCCTCCAACCCCTCTCCCTTTACCTCATCTCCCTTGAGGATCTCAATCTTTCCGCCCTGCATCACCTGCTCCCCCTCCGACCCCGAACCACCACCTTCTGTTCCCCCTCCCCCCGACTCAGAAGGACTGCCCTCTGAACCAGCAGCGTCTTGGGAATCCGGCGAAGAATCCGTTTCTTTCGAAGGATCTCCAGCACTCGAAGGATCCGAGGAGCTGGTTTCATTTGAGGGATCGCTGACTCCTCCCACCCCTCCTATCACAGGCACATTGCCACCACTACCAGCACCACCACCAGCATCCTTCTTCGCTACCTTGCCTCCCCCCTTGCTTCCCTTGTTTGGAAGCCGCACCTTGGAAGCTCCCTTGGTTATCGCATCCCACACGTTCCCACCCTTGCTCCCGCCCTTGCTGCCACCCGTGCTGCCACCTTTACTGGGTGGCTTTTTTGCTGTGCCGCTGCTGCTGGTTGACTGCGGACTGCTAACACCATCACTGCTACTGCTGCTGCTGCTGTTGCTATCACTGCTGGTGCTGCTTTCCTCCCCCCCTACATTGTCATCTTTCCCACTAGTGTCACCACCGCTGCTACTGCTTCCACTTTCTTCTCCAGATCCAGTGTTATCACCACTGCCACTATCACTCTCACTCCCATCGCTGCTCTTACTGTCACTCCCGTTACTACCACTGCTGTCACTTCCGTTGCTGCTGCCGCTGCTACTGTCACTTCCATGACTGTCACTGCTGTTCTTCCCTCCAGACTCGCTCACAGGAGGCGGCCCTCCTGCACTCCCTCCCTCCTTGTACCCCAGGTGCTGCCCCTTCTTCTCCTTCTCCAGCCTCTCTTTGTGCCCCACAAACTCCCCTCCACTGCCCCCCCCACCACTGCTGCTGCTGCTGCCACTGCCGCTGCTGCTGCCACTGCCACTGCCGCTGCTGCTGCCATTGCTGCTGCTGCTGCTGCTGCCACTGCCGCTGCTGCTGCCATTGCTGCTGCTGCTGCTGCTGCCACTGCCGCTGCTGCTGCCATTGCTGTTGCTGCTGCTGCTGCTGCCGTCACTGCTGCTGCCACTGCTGCCAGCCTTCTTTGTCCCAGTCCCACTGCTGCTCTTACTCGCACTGCTCCCACCGCTGCTCTTACTTGCACTGCTCCCACTGCTCCCACTGTTCCCACTCCCTGCCTGCGTATTCCCCCCACCAGCACCTCTCCAGGGATCATCCGGCATACCTCTGCCCCTCCAGCTGCCCCCGCCACTCCCATAGTACCCGTTGCTGCCCCCGCTGCTGTACCCTCCAGAGCCACTGTTTCTACTGACGCCCCCCCCTTCTATCAGCTTGTTGCCACTCCCCCCATCCAGCAGCACATTACCATCACTGCTGCTGCTGCTGCCGCCGCCGCTGCTGCTATGGCCACTGTTGCTGCTGCTACTGCTGCTGCTGCGGCTGGTGCCTCCAGAGCTTAGCGCACCACCCCCGGCATTCCCTCGATTACCAAGCCCGCTGCTGCTGCTGCCCTTGCTAGAGCTGCTGCTGCTCCCCCCTGTGTCACTGCTGCTGCTGCTGGCAGTGCCATCACCACCACCACCACCACCACCACCACCACCACCACTGCTACTCGTGCTTCTCCTCCCTCCGCTTCCTCCTCCGCCTCCTGTTGCCGCCTTCTCAGCGGAAGCTAGTGGGTCGTAGGGGTCTATCTCTGGTGGCGATTCTCCTGAGGACCCTTCCCCTGATGATCCACCTGAAGAGTCATCTGAATAATCACCTGAAGGGCCAGCAGGAGAAGTGCGTGAGGAGTATCCAGAGCTGCTGCTACCGCCACCACCACCGCCACTGCTACTGCTCCTGCCACCTCCCTCGCTGCTCCCACCACCAACCTTGCTGCTCCCACCACCGATGGCACCAGCAACCTCCTCCGGACTCCTGTTGCCGCCACTGCTGCTGCCTCTCCCTCCACCGCGGGTAACACCGTTACCGCCAGTGCTGCCAGTGCTGCCGGTGCGACTTCCCAAGGACACGTCATTCCCCACGTTCCCATTGCTGCCGCCCTGCCTGTTACCCCCGTTACTGCTCCCCCCGTTATTGGCACCCCCACTACCGGTCTGGGACGAGCCCAGGGGGTCATATGGATCCACTCCCCCGGATGACTCCCCTCCTCCAGCATCCGCGTTATAATCACCCCCGTTGCTGTCATCCGCGGTATAGTCCGCAGGAGGGGTCGCCACCCAGTCGCCTCCCTGTCCCCCTCCCCCTCCCCCTCCCCCTCCCCTTCCTCCCCCTGCCCCTGCACCATCGCTCCCTCCTCCGTTGCCTTTCTCTCCCTCACCACTATCACCCCCACTTGAACCCCCCTCCCCTCCTCCATAATCACCACCGCTACTATCACCACCACTAGAATCACTGCCGCTACTATCGCCACCACTCGTGTCACCACCACTACTATCGCCACCACTCGTGTCACCACCGCTACTATCACCACCAGTACTATCACCACCACCACTATTGCTCCCTTCTCCTCCTGTAATCTCGTCTCCTCCGCTACCCACTCCTCCTCCCCCGCCATCGTTCGAGCTTCCTCCCCCTCCCCCCTCCCCTCCCCCTCCCCCTTGTTCACCCGCACTGCTGTCCCCGCCTTGCGCTCCCTCCGCGGATCCAGACCCATCCGCTGCATCCGCACCACCAGCACCGCCTGACTCACCACCACCATCAGCACCACCATCAGCACCGCCATCAGCACTATCCGCACCACCATTGCTGGTGTTAGCATCGTCCTTTCCTCCTTCACCCGACCCATTTGACTCAGTCGAACCAGAATCTGATCCGCTTGACCCAGAACCTGACCCACCTGACCCACTTGACCCACTTGACCCTTGTGCGGCATCGCCACCGGTGGAGCTGCTTGAGCCGCTCGAGTCTCCGTCACTGCTGCTCTGGCCTCCCTGCTCCCCTCCCTCACTCCCTCCTCCCGCACTCCCGTCTCCACTGCCTCCTACTACCTTTGCCCCCTCCCCATCCACCTGGCTTGACTTTGCAACCCCTCCACTGCTGCTGCTGCTGCTGCTGCTGCTGCTCTTCTTCCTCCTCCCCGCCCTCCACTTCTGCTTCAGTGCCTCTCTCCGTCTCTCCGTCTCCCACACTCGCTTCCTCACCTCCGCCCTCCTCCTCTTCGCCGCCTCCTCCTTGCTCGACGGAGCACCCCCCTTGCCCCCACTACTCTCGCTTCCAGTAGACGACTCCTCACCACCCCCCCCACCCTTCCCTCCTCCACTCTCCCCACTCTTCCCACCCTCGTCCCCTTTGCTCCCCCCACTCTCCCCCCCCTCCCCTGCTCCCTCGCCCCCCCCTGTCCCCTCCACAGCTTGCAATGGGGCCACTTGATCCTCCCCCGCTCTTCCGGTATCACTCGCGCCATTGTCACTCCCTCCACTCCCACTGCTCTCAGTCCTGCTAATCTCACCCCCGTCACCCCCGTTACTATCACTCCCGCTACCATCACCCTCACCACTCCCACTCTCCACTGCAATCAGCCCAGACTCATCTCTCTCATCCCCACCCGCCCCCGCTCCCTCACTCCCCCCTGCCGACGTGTCACCTTGCGATTGGACCACCGCACGCGACTCCCGAAAAGGGGCCAAGAACCCATCCAGGTCGACAGCATGGTAGGAGTAGTCACAGGCGTCCATCATCGTCCTTATCCTCCCCTCCTCCTCCCCTGTTACCTCTCTCTTCAGCTCCGGTATTCCCAAGGGGGACTGTATCCTGCTTCCTGGCACCACCAACACGTTCTCCATCACCGGCTGTAGCAGCGACTGTAGCGCAGGGTCAGAATCATTAGAATCTGAACCTTGAGAGCCGTTGGTGTCATTAGAATGGCCTGGTGTCTCCTTAGAGCCGTCTTGACCGGTGGAGGTTGTATCTGGACCCACGTCTGAACCCATGGCTCTCCTTCTGAGGCTCCTGCTGGGGACGATGTTGATGTCGGCGAATGAGAGGCCGACACATGGCACGGTGGCGCTGCAGCGGATGTAGATGCCGTGCGTGTGGTTGCTCGTGCCGTAGACATTGCGGAAAGAGACGTTGGCTATGGCGACTGCGTCGCTGCTGCTGCTGCTGCTGCCGTCGCTGCTGCTGCTATTGGTGTTGCTACTGCTATTGGTGTTGTTGCTGCTGCTGCTGCTGCTGCTGCTGCTGCTGCTGCTGCTGCTGCTGGTGTTGCTGCTGGTGTTGCTGGTGGTGTTGCTGGTGGTGGTAACATTGTTACCAGTGTCCTCATTGTTGCAGCGGTAGGAGCCGTCGCTGCAGACAGTCTGCAAGGGGGGGGCGGTACAAGGAAAAGGGGGGATAGAACAGACAGCGTTACCACAGGCAGCAGCAGCACCAGCAGCGCACCGCAGCGACACCATTAGCAGCACCAGCCTTACTGCCGCTAGGAGCTGTCGCTGTGGAGGGTGTGCTGAGGGGTGGAGAGGGGTAAGAGAGGGACGCCGAAAACGGTTCGAGGGAGAGGGAGAAGGACTAGACTCAGGGACTCAGCTGCTTCTATGGCTGACTGTTCACACAACGACATGTTTTTTTACTTGGGGTAAGTGATTCTTGAGAAATCACCGACGACAGCGTTACATACACGCTTGCTTCTACTGCCCGCCCTACAGGGGCAGACTTGACTGATGGTTCGTTGCCCCTCTTACCTGGTCGATTTTGATTGGCTCAGTCGTCTCGATCACTTCCACGTCAGCAAAGTGCACGTTGGAGATGCACCCTCGCCCGCCCTGGTACGTGCTTATGCGCAGCGCGTTCCTCCCCCCGTATATAGTGGCGTTCTTTACAGTCACGTTGGTGACGCACCCTGTGAACTGATCCCGGCCCAGATTGAAGATGCTGGAGGGGAGGGGATGGTTGGAGGGGAGGGATGGGTGGAAGGGAGGGGATGGTTGGAGGGGAGGGGATGGTTGGGGGGGAGGGATGGGTGGAAGGGAGGGGATGGTTGGAGGGGAGGGGATGGTTGGGGGGGAGGGATGGGTGGAGGAAAGAGAAGGTGGGGATGGGCATCCACACCGGGTGATGGTGAGACAGTTAGACGGTGGGATGGTGAGAAGGTGGGATGGTGAGAAGGTGGGATGGTGAGAAGGTGGGATGGTGATGACAGGGGGAGAACAACGGGAGGGAGAGAAAAAGAGATGAGGAGAACTGGTCAGTCCATGCCACCCATGCCACCCATGCCACCCATGCCACCCATGCCACCCATGCCACCCATGTCACCTGTGTCACCCATGCCACCTGTGTCACCCATGCCACCTGTGTCACCCATGCCACCTGTGTCACCCATGCCACCTGTGTCACCCATGCCACCTGTGTCACCCATGCCACCTGTGTCACCCATGCCACCCATGCCACCCATGTCACCCATGTCACCCATGCCACCTGTGTCACCCATGTCACTCTTCAGCCTTCACCTGGTGCCCCTCACCTGATGCCCCTGCCAGCGGAGCTGAAGACGTTGTGGATGCTGATGTTGGCGCTCTTATCCACTATAGCAATCCCGTTGCCGCCCGTGTGCATCCTGCAGTTCCTTATAATCACATTCGTTGCTGCCGCCAGGTGCAGCCCGTCCGTCCCAGGGCTGTTGTACGGACTCATTACAGTCACCTCCCTTACAATCACATTGTTGCACTCCTGTATACTGATGTGCATCTCAGGAGGGTTCCGTACAGTAATTTGCTCTATAACCAGATTATCACAATTTTGAAAGGCAAAACCTTTCGGCCGGGCGTATGAGTCGGGCTGCCCGAGCGACAAATGTTCCCGCCACGTCTCCAGCCCCCGCCCGTCAAAACTTCCCGCCTGCTTGCCCTGCCCGGTCGACGTCACGGTCAGCCCGGTCACCTGGTCGAAAAAAAGGTGCGCCACCACGCTGTAAGATGATTGGTAGGAGGATACGGGCAGATCCGGAGCGAGAATCTTTCCGTCCAATAAGAAGATGACACCTGGCCCGCAGGGGCCAGAAAAGACCATGGGGGTGGTGAGGAAATCAGCCCCAGCAGGGACGGTAACGGTGGCCTTGGCGTTGTTCTGCTTTGCCCACTGGCACGCCTCGTTAAAAGCCGCCTCGATAGCCTCGCCATCGTCGTTCTGGCCGTCGCCCAGCGCACCGAAGTGGTACACGTCGAACGTGCCTGTAAGGGAGGTGTCTGTGAAGGGGACGGGCTGGGCAAGCGTGTCGAGCACGTCGTGCGTGGTTGTGCCTGTTGGAAGGTTCTCTGAAGCTTCGACTGAGCCGGTGCTCTTTGGAGGCGGATAGATCTGGATGTTGGGCCACTCTTGGTCCGAAGGGTCGGAGTAGGGGTCGTTGTCCTGATCAGCATCGTCAGCACCGTTACCATCGCCATCACCGTCAGCACCAGCATCATCGGCAGCAGCATCCTTTCCCCCATCCAAGACTCCTCCCCCACCATCTCCCCCAACCATCGTGCCACTCACCAACCCGTTACCTCCACCCTTAGTCGCATTGCCCCCCATCCGTCCACACAGGTCCGTGTGCACGCAGAAGGGCGACGAGTAGAAGCACGACGGGAACGGCTCGCAGCTGCCCACCCGGTTCCCCCTCCCGGCCCACACGCACGAGTCGAGCGTGCACGCATCCCCATCATCGCACCCCCCTGCCACCTGCTCCACCACTGAGCAGAACGAGTCCAGCACGTAGCGGCAGTTGCCGGAAAGGGTTGTGGCGGTGGAGGGGGGCGCCCAGGCGTCGGCGTGCGAGAGCCGGGCCGTGAAGGGCCACCCCTCCACGCGGATGAACACGCCCTGCTTGGGTCGGTACAGGCACGCGGGCCGGGGGAGAGGCACTCGGAGGCGGGGCGAGAGGAGGTCCGGGTCTGCCGAGCCTGATTCTTCCGAGCCTGAGTCTACTGAGTCTGATGGTTTTTCCTGGTCTGCGGGGGATTGCTGCTGCTGCTGCTGCTGCTCCCCCAGGACCCCTGCCTGCTCCTGCTTCAAAACTGCCTCCTCCAATGCCTCCAAGTCTTTCACGCTCGTGCCATCACCATTACTGCTGCTGCTGCTGCTGCTGCTGCTGCTGGTGGTGGTGTTAAAGCTGGTGTCTGCCCCATCAGTGCTTGTGCTGTTGCTGGCCGTCGTGCTGCTGCTGCTACTGCCTTCTACAATACCACCTCCCAAATCGTCCTCACTGTCAGCGCCACCAACCACGGCAGCGCCAGCACTAGTCACCGTCCGTATCCCCTTCCCGCCGCCTGCAGCAACCCCTCCGTCGCCCACCTCTCCTCCTCCCCCTCCTCCACCCCCACCCACACACTCCTCCTTCACCCTCCTCTCACACCGCGCTGTCTCATAGAAGCACGACGGAAACGGCGTGCAGCTGCCAATAGTGTTGTTCCCACCCTGCCATAGACAATAGTCCTCCGTGCACTCATCTCCATCATCACACCCCCCCGGTTTCCCCACCACCCCGCACGCCGAGTCGATTATGAATCTACAGTTTCCCGTCATGGCGACTTGCCCGGGCCGCGGCGCCCACGCGTCGTCGGCGGAAAGGCGGACGCGGAACGCGTTCTTTAAGCGGATCATGAAGCGGTTCTTATAGGGGATGAAGATGCACGCGCTGCGAGGCGGCGGCGTGGTGCGCACGATCTCGACCGTACCTCCTGACGCTGCCTCGCCGTCATCCTTGTTATAAGCGTCACCGCCGTCCGCGGCAGGTGACACTTCTGCGCCACTCTCCTCCCCTCCCGCGCTACTCCCCCCCACTTCCGCATCCGCCTCGGCAGCCCCCGCATTCTCCTCCCCTTTTCCGCCTTTCCCCTCGTCTTCGCCGCTCCCGCCCTCTCCCCCTTTTTCCCCGCTTCCGCCATCACCCGCGGGGGCATCGGCGGAAGCAGAAGAAACTGAGCCCCCAAGCGCAGAGGGGGGGGTTGGCGGCGCGATACAATCCGGGTTCGTGATACTATCGGGGGATGCGGTATATGAACAAGACGGTCCAGCTAAGAGGCAGTCCGGATAAGGCGTGCACGTGGCCGGATCCGAAGGGACACACGTGTCAGTCGTGCATTCGTTGTGGTCGTCGCATCCGCCAGTGGGCGTGATATCTTGACACGTGGCGTCAATCAAGTACTGGCAGTCGTTCGTCAGCACCTTTCGACCAATGGGAGGCGCCCACGTGTCCGTCGCGTTGAGAGTAATTCTGCGAGTTGGTGCAGACGGGCACAGAGGAAATACATTGTAATTAATAGTAATAATTAATTAATAAAAAAAAACCTCAAGACGTTTTTCTCTTACAGCAACGGCAACGACTACGACGGCGGGCCGTCCCTCCCAAAGTGGCACTCAGTGCCCGAAGGAGGCCACAGAGGGCATTCCACGTCCCTCCCGAAGGCTTCATTCCTTCACTGCGGAGGAGTGACGGAGGCTGCTTTTGAGGCGCCTAAAAAATCCTTCCCTGCGAAGGTGTGACGGAGGATAATTTACGCGTCTTACTAAAACTCGTTTACAAGGGGTGTGATGACGGAGGCCACAGAGGGCATTCCACGTACCGCCCCTTTCTCCGCGTCAACTACGCACGAGGGGTGATAATGAGGGGTGACGGCTCGTCACTCGGAGTGACGACGAGGAGCGACGACGAGGGCTTACAGTGTGCTCAGCCCGGCGACCAGGCTGAATGCCCGTTTCTCCGCGTCGAATACGCACGCGCTCGCCCGCGCGCGCAGCCCCGCAGCCTCCACCGCGTTCAGTAGAATCTCCGCCCCCGCCGCCTCCAAGTCGTCCGCGCCTCGCGCTCCGCCGCCACGAGTCATGGCGGGAGGCGATTCGGACGGCGCTGACGTCGATTGTGGAGCTGACGTGGGCGCTACAGCCGCGGCTTTAGCGGTTTCCTTGGCGGGGACTATGGTGGAAGCTGGAAGCGGGATGATGGCGGAAGGAACACTTGCGCTTGTTGCGTGGGGCGGAGAGGCGGAAGGAGTGGAGGCGGGTGCGGGAGGAATGGGGGGAGCAGCGGAAGCCGTACTAGGGGACGCGGCGGAGGCGGCGGAAGAGGAGGCGGAAGGAGTGACGTCACTCCCGCCGACTCCCCCGCTTACAGCGGTATCAGGAGAGGTGGAGGGGAAGAGAGGGAGGTTGGCGATGGGTGTGGGTCCGGGAATTGCGGATCGCGCAAGAAGCGCTGCTGCGGGGGAGCCGGGATTGGAAGTAGCGCTCGCGGCGGCTACTAGTGGAGCGGGTACTAGTGGGGAGGGTAATAATGAGGACGGTAGTATTTGTGGCGCCAGAAGGACGACTGTTGAGGGGTGATGGGAGGGATTAGGGAGGGATTAGGGAGGTAGTGGGAAAGGAATTATAATAGTTGAAGGGAGGGGCAGCACCCGCTAGGAGTGGCGACAGAAAAGCAACGAGGATATGGTGGAAAGGATGCGGGAGAGAGTTTTTTTTTTCCACGCTCTGACTTCAGGCTTTTTGCTAAGTCGGGCAGTCAACACAAGGCTTTCCCGTACTGCGTACCTAAGAAGAGAACCACGGTAGCGACGCGGCTGCTCGCAGCCTGCGGTCGTGCGACAGAGGAAGAAGCCGCTGGCGACATCCTGACGACCCTACCAGGCCGTCGTCGCATCGGCTCTGCGACAATCTCCCCCATCTTATCTTGGCGACATGCGGCTATGCCGGCCTCAATCCTGCGTTTCTCTCAATCGCCACGTGTCTCTTCCCGGAGGTCCGTAATAGCTGTCTACTGATAGTTCGACTGCGTACTCTATTTGACGCAGCAACGACGAGCGTTGGGAGGAACTAGTACGCGATGCTTGAAAGTTTCGAGGCTCGTAAGCTTCACGCGACTACTCTAAAGCCCGTAATCGAATCTCTCGTAAATAACTGTGCTCCGACTCACTATAGGTGTGTTTAGACGGAATCAAGTCGCAGGTTAGTCTGGGACTGAAGCTGACGGAGATTCTGTGAGGATTTGTTTTCAGTAGGCAAGCTTATCAGCGCAAAACTGATGAGTAGAAATGCGAATCTTGCGAGTCTAGGGAGACTTGGGGCCAAGAGAGCCCGTCCACCGAGTACGAGACGTTTCGAAGTGATGGAGAAGTGAGGGAGGAGCCGTGAAGAGCAGGAAGGGAAGGTGATGTCTACTAGGTGAAAATCTTGGCGTGCGGGAGGGGTGCTCGGATTTCGGAGTGAGGGTGGGCGATGGCTGACTTGGTTGAAAAGAGTTCAAACTTCGGAGAATATCGGAGCCGTCAGCAGCTTCCAGACAAAGGATTGCATCAATCCCAGCCGTACAATACACTAGCCGCCTTGGTGATTTTCGAACGGCCATTTTTATGAGTTGGCCGAATTTATCCGTCGCGTCGCTGAGCTTCGCGCCTTGTGATTCGAATCGAACCGCACCGTACATCACATATTTCGTCGTAGGCGTCAAGTAGCGAGTTTGAAACTCTCCATGAACGCGCGAAAATCAGTCATTGGCTCGCGAATTGCTGGGCGCAGTAGGCCCCTTTTGGCATTCTATTGACTGCTGTGCTACTGTTAGAGACCTTAGAAGCTCCTCATATACTTTGGATCATTTAACCCTATAATTCTCATTAGCGGCAAAATGTATTAGACCGCCAAACGCTAGAGACATCCCCCACATACCCCACAGCCCATCGAAGATTTTGGCTAAGACCCCAAACGCTAGAGACATCCCCCACACACCCCACAACATATCGAAAATTTCGGCTAAGTGGGGTTATCAGACATAGTCACCCTAACACCCCGACCCAAACAGCCAAAAATTTTGGCTACGTCATAAACATAACTATAACAGATATGAGGGTGAGCTGGGCACGGGGAGGAGGCAAGCGGAATGGAGGGGAAAGGGGGAGATCGAAACGGATGGAAGGGGGAAGCGAAACGGAGGGGGAGGGGGATCGAAAATGGAGGGGGAGGGGGGGATCAAAACTACCCGTAGTGAGAGGGGGCAAGCTAGGCGAATAGAGCGGTGGGAGAAACTTCGCGCCCTTGCAGCACGCGGGTTGGGAGATCTTGGACATCAATATTTTGCAAACATCGAACGGTTGAAACATGTTGAAACGATCGCAATCGATCGAGGCCATCAAATTTTGATAGACTTTCAATTGACCAAACGGACAACGAATGAAATGTCCCTAAAAGGGAAGAATATTAGAAAATATTTGTTTCGTCTCTCCCTGTCAAGGGGATAAAACATTTTCATGCTCTGGCATCGTCGTCAGTACCCTTATAAGTTTCGTCCGTCACTTTTTAAAAAAAACTCTGCTTGTACTCGCTGGACTCTGAGAAAATCTGACAAGCTCAGTTCTGGACTCTGACATTTCAGAGTACCGAAATTTCGGCTGAAGGCCCTTTTTCTCTCTCTCTCTCTCTCTCTCTCTCTCTCTCTCTCTCTCTCTCTCTCTCTCTCTCTCTCTCTCTCTCTCTCTCTCTCTCTCTCTCTCTCTCTCTCTTGTTTTTTGGGGAGGTTGGCTCAGGGTGGTTTTTTTTAAACGTCAGCCCTACCCAGGGCCTCATAATTCTGGACAAATGGTTGTGCATATTGAAGTGGTAACCAGGGCTGACGTTATCAGACTATTTAGTCTGATTAGTCTTAAATTTCAGACCCTAATGTTGGCCAAACCTGAATTCTCAGATTTTCCATTTTCCCAATCCTGATCACATCAGAGCAAAAATTCAGACTTGTTGCTAACCCAGTAATGAGTTTTTAGAGCACAGCGCGTACAGACTCTGAAACACATGTACCTACTACCAACATACGGTACGACTCGGAAATTTTCGGCTAAGTCCCCGGACGTTAGATACATCCCCCACACACCCCACAACCCATCAAAATTTTCGGCCAAGTCCCCGAACGCTAGAGACATCCACCACACACCCCACAACATATCGAAAATCTTGGCTAAGTGGGGCTATCACACACAGTCTCCCTAACACCCCAACCCCAAACAGCCCAAACTTTTGGCTAAGTCATAAATAGATATATAACAAATATGAGGGTGAGTTGGGCACATACACAAACCTTTCCTAAGGGGAGGGGGGAAGCGAAATGGAGGGGAAGGGGGGAGATCTAAACGGACGGAAGGGGGGAAGCAAAACAGAGGGGGAGGGGTGGATTGAAAATGGAGGGGGAGGGTATCAAAGTTAACGAATGACTAGAACCATGGCATACAAGGGAATATAACATGGTGGATTGTACTCTCTAAGGCACAACCCTGTGTAGTCTATAACAACATACAAGGACATGTTTGACACACCCCATAGACTGGATAGGGGAGGTGCCTGGTGAGAGACAAGCAGCTCATGGTAGCACTACTAGTTCAGCCTCTGAGGCAAGGATCTAAAGACCAGTCAAACGAGTACAAACAAGGCAAGAGCAAGACCAAGGCGGCACTACTAGTCCAGCCACTGGGAAGTAGCCACAAGGCCAGTTAGGGTAATACAGTGACGAAACAATTGTCAGGATGTTTTGCATTAATTAGGGTTTTTGGGCTTTCGGACCACTGTACATAAATTCATAATGTTAAATGGTGGTACGCTTCGGGAGGGGCACATAGTGGATGTGTTCACAACGCTAATTCCATAATAGTACACTGGATCTAACTTAGTGCCAAAAGATATACAAAGAGTACATCCGAACAATTATTTCCCAGGACAACGAGCTAACTTTCGCGCAGCGTTTCTAATACCTAGTCCACCAACACTTAGCCTTGATCACCACCTGCACCCTCCTAAGCTTGTTATCTACGGAGTTGGTGCAAACCTTTACAGGGATCTTCTCGCACTCTTCCTGGACCCACTCTTTTGCATAAGGGGGTGAGCACTAGGAAAATCGCGAAATATTTGAGCGTATGCAATAGTATTGTGCACGATTTCAGATTGAATGTTCTCTCTGAAACTAGCCACGCTGAGGTGTGGCCAGAGATGTCATAAGTCGATTAGTCTCATCTTATCATGGATCGTCTCCGTCGTACCGTTGTAGGGTAAAATTACGAGCAGGGTGGCGAAAACTAGCGTGTCCGCTGCGAAACTTAGTGTAACATAGCACGGTCGACCGTGCACCCTTTCACAAATAGAATCACATTAAAATCTACGGGTCTCATCATGGTGCAGCAGTCGAAGAAGCCCCAACTTGTGGGAAGAATATACGGATTGAGGTATGGTGAGGATGAGGGTCACTCGAGTGCTATAAACTCCTGCTCTCCAAGCCATTCCAAGCCTAGGCGGGACACATGGCTTGGAATGGCGTGCAGAGTATGAGTATGTTGCGATGGAGTGACCCTTTTCCTCACCAGACCTCAACCCGGATATTCTTTCTAAACAGTCGCGCCTTCTTCGACTGCTGCACCGTGACGAGACCTATGGATCCTAGCGTGATTCTATTAGTGAAAGGGTGCACAGTCGACCGTGATATGTTACTCTAAGTTTCGTGGCAGATACCCTAGTCTTCGCCACGCTGCTCGTAATTTTACCCTACAATGGTACGACGAAAACGATCCGTGATAAGACAGAGTCAATCGACTTATGGCACATTTGGCCACACCTCAACTTGCCTAGTCTTAAGGAGAACATTCAATCAGAAATCGTTCACAATACTCTTGCATACGCTCAAATCCTTCGCAATTTTCCTAGTGCTCACCCCCTTATGCAAAAGTGTGGGTCCAGGAAGAGTGCGAGAAGATCCCAATAAAGTTTTGCACTAACCTCGTAGATAACATGCCTAGGAGGGTGCAAGTGGTGACCAAGGCCAAGTGTTGGTGGACTAGGTACTAGAAACGCTGCGTAAAGTTTGCTCGTTGTCCTGGGAAATAATTGTCCGGATGTACTCTTTGTATATCTTTTGGCACTAAGTTAGATATAGTGTACTATCATGTATTTTGTGCTATGAAAACATCCACTATGTGCCTCTCCCAAAGCGTACCACCATTATACATTACGACTTAATGTACAGAGATTCATAAGCCCAAAAACCCTAATTAATGCAAAACATCCGGACAATTCTTTCCGTCACCGGATACAGGAGGATCATGGCCCCGTTGTCAGCGTACAGAACCGGGGAAGAGCTAGGCCGCTCACCTAAGCAAGTGAGCAAGAAGTTCAGCCAGCGGAGTTCCTGTGCCGCCATGGCACCGGTGTAGATCTCGGCCTCACAACTAGACTAGTCAACAGACGAGGAGCGAGTGGACCTCCACGAGATGGCACCTGAACCAAGACTTAAGGAGTAGCCCTGAGAGGACCTGAGGGTCTCAGCGTCATCTGCCCAGGAAGCGTCCGTGTGCCCAATAACGACCATTGGCCTGCGTCCTCCCAGCACTAACCCCATGGCCAATGTACTTGCTAGATAACGCAAAACCCTCTTAGCGACCGACCAGTGTTGTGGTCGGTGTCTGCTTGTGGCCACACAGCGAGCCAGGATGCTGAGAGGGTATGCGAGATTTGGACGAGCGCAAGTCATCAGGCACATGAGGCAACCCACCAGCTCTGCGTAAGGACCACTGGGCTCTACTAACTCCTCAGAAACTCGAGCAGAGAGTCTGAGATCTACTAGCAGAGGTGTGGGCTGTGCGGAGGAGAACTGAACACCGAACCTCTTAAGGACCTGACGTACCAAGTGTGACTATTTAAGAGTGATGGTGCACGCTGCTCTGTCTCTGGAGAGCTACAGGCCAAGGTAACAGCGCAGCTCTCCTAGGTCAGTGCAGGTTTATCTCCTCAGCAGCTCGGCCTTCACAGAGACCAGTGCGTCTTTGTCTGCAGTGATAAGACCAGGTCGTCTACGTCGACAAGGATGTAGAATGGAGTCTGGCCAAAACGGACGAAGAGCGAGGGGTCTGAAGAAGACGGGAAGAACTGCAGGTTAGCAAGCATATCGTGCCACATACGGGGCACCTGTCGCAAGCCGTAGATGGGGCGCTGGAGGAGCCACTCTGTATCAGGGGGAGAGGTACCGGAGAAGCCCTGGGGGAAGACCTGCTCGTGTAGATTGCTGTGGAGAAGTAGAGGGTGTGCAGCCCCCTCACGCTGATTCAAGCCTCAAGCAACGTAGCA